AGGCACCACGGAATAAAGCACACTTACCACAAGATCCAGACCTGATGGGGAGTGGGAGGTGGACTTCACGTAAGCAAAAACAGCAATGCAAAATAACAAGGAGACCACAATGAGGTGAGGAAGGCAGGTGGAGAAGGCTTTATGCCAACCCTGCTCAGAGGGAATTCTCAGCACTGTTTTGAAGATCTGAACATACGACACAATTATAGAACCAAAGCAGCTTAAGCCTAAGAATATGTTAAAGGAAATATCCACAGTTTCACCAAGGTACAGGTCAGAGCAGGCCAGCTTGAGTATTTGGGGGATTTCACAGTAGAACTCACCCACCATGTTGCCTCCACAGAAGGTTATTGCAAATGTGTTCCCAGTGTGCAGTATACAAAGGAGAATTCCAGTGATCCAGGCACTGGCTGCCATTTGGACACAAGCTCGCCTGTTCATTATAATCTCATAGTTCAGTGGTTGGCAGATGGCGACATATCGGTCATACGCCATGATGGTGAGAAAAGCAAAGTCAACCGCAGTGAAGAAGATGAAGAGAAAGACTTGGGTAATACATCCAGCATAAGAAATTGACCTGGTGTTTAACAGGGAGTTGGACACGGACTTGGGGACAGTGAGGGAGATGGATCCGAGGTCTAAGAGGGACAGATTCATCAGGAAGAAGTACATGGGTGTGTGAAAGTGATGGTCAAGCAGTGCAAAGATGATAACAAGGAGATTTCCTTTCAGGGCTACCAGGTAAATCCCTAGAAACAGGATAAAGTGTAAAATACGCAGCCCCTGAAAATCGGAGAATCCCAGAAGAAAGAACTCAGTCAAGGTGGTTCGGATGGACATTTTCTTTCTCAGAACATCTTGTGCTGCCTGGGGAGGGGTAAGGACAAGGGCAATGTCAGGAGGAGACCGTTCCTCAACTGTAACAATCTCACCAGTAGTGAACTGCATTGTGACACCAGTGTAAATTGCCACAGCTCCCTTACAGTCGAGCAGTGTCCATTTCCACCATCTGAGGATCTGGTCCCAGATGTGGCTTGATAAAATGCCATGTAAATATGGAACCAATTACAATCCAAACCCTACAATCTTAGGAACGACGGTCTACCTATTGCGACAGTGGAGAGCTATTTTACGAGAGGAAAGTGAGGCTATTTCTACACTATGAACCAGGAGACTGATTCCCAGCTCGGGTCCATGTCCTTGAGATGGCCTGATGAGAGCTAGCGCAAGTATAAATCCTGTATAGCCATGCTAGCATGGGCAGCCACGCTGAGTAGGTGGCCCTGAGGTTCAGACAAGCTTGTACGTGGCATGATGAAGCTATGGTGTCACCCATGCTACTGCAGCTGCACTGTGATATATACTCATCCATCTAGCACAAGCACATGCACATGAGCTAGGGAATAACAGCCCTAGCTTGTAATGTAGATGTAGCCTAAAAGAATTTGTCTTGTTTAGCCGAGCAAAAAGTCGGCTGAGAGGGGATGTGGTTGCTCTCTTTAAATAGATCAGGGGGATAAACACCAGGGAGAAAGAGCTATTGATGCTAAAGGAGAATACTGGAACAGAAACTAATGCGGATAAGCGAGCCATGAGTAAATTTAGGCTGGAGATGAGGAGAAGGTTTTTCCCCAGCAGAAGAGGGCTGAACTAGGGCTGACATTTATTCCTTAAAAAAAAAAAAAAAAAACTTTAGATACTACTTTGCAAAAGAAAATGCAAATAGGACTCCTGACCATAGACAATATTATCTTAGGCTTATCAGTATTTAATTTATATATATATATAATTTTGACTGATAATATTGATGTTTATAATTAAACATTTGTTTATTTTTATCAGTTTAAATGTTCACAGTTGCAGGAAATTATGGAGGGATCAGACAATAGTTATTTAATAACAGTACATGTTGAGTTTCAAAAAAATAAAACTTGAGAACTGTGAAAGCACAATGTTTTAACATGACGTGAAGATATACAAAGTCAATAACCTTAAATCAAACACTCTTAAGTTCTCAAGCAGCATTTTTCTTACTTTGCCTCACTGGAAATGTTGATTGTTGAAGGAAATATTTTTTCACTGGTTTGTGTGTATATGGTGAAATCAACATTTGCAAATATTTACTGATAAAAATCTAATCCTTCCAAGACTTCTTATAGAGGTAGCAATGGAAAGAGGATTGCATAGGTAAGACAAGACCATAACAATGAACTATTAGTATAGTTTTCCTAAAAGATTAAAGCAGCGGTCTGCATTGTGCATAATTCTCATTAAAATGTTGCACGTGAACAAAAAATAATAAACAGAGTGTTTTTAAAAAAAATATTGAAGTCTTTGAGCTATATTGTCCTCTCCATTATACCAGATTTATTCCACCATAACTCCATTGATTTCAGTGGGTTTGACACCACTGCAAAATTGGTACAATGGGTGGACATACAATATGATGGGGGCTAATTTAGTTAAAACAATGAGGAAAAAGATCTTGGAGTCATCATGGATAGTTCTCTGAAGACGTCCAAGCAGTGTGTAGAGGCAGTCAAAAAAGCAAACAGGATGTCAGGAATCATTAAAAAGTGGATAGAGAATAAGATGGAGAATATATTATTGCCCTTATATAAATCTATGGTACGCCCACATCTTGAATACTGCGTACAGATGTGGTCTCCTCATCTCAAAAAAGATAGACTGGCATTAGAAAAGGTTCAGAGAATGGCTACTAGAATGATAAGGGGTTTGGAGCGGGTCCCATATGAGGAGAGATTAAAGAGGCTAGTAATTTTCAGCTTGGAAAAAAGGAGATTAAAGGGGGATATGATAGAGGTATATAAAATCATGAGTGATGTGGAGAAAATAGATAAGGAAAAGTTGTTTACTTATTCCCATAATACAAGAACTAGGGGCCACCAAATGAAATTAATGGGCAGCAGGTTTAAAACAAATAAAAGGAAGTTCTTCTTCAAACAGGGCACAGTCAACTTGTGGAACTCCTTCCCTGAGGAGGTTGTGAAGGCTAGGACTATAACAGCGTTTAAAAGAGAACTGGATAAATTCATGGAGGTTAAGTCCATTAATGGCTATTAGCCAGGATGGGTAATGAATGGTGTCCCTAGCCTCTGTTGACAGAGGGTGGAGACGGATGGCAGGAAAGAGATCATTTGATCATTACCTGTTAGGTTCACTCCCTCTGGGGCACCTGACATTGGCCACTGTTGGTAGACAGGATACTGGGCTAGATGGACCTTTGGTCTGACTCAGTACGGCTGTTCTTATGACAGTTTTTATTCAGACAAAACTCATTGTGGAGGAAATTCTGATCTCAGGAATGAAGCCAAAATAACTCCAATGACTTCATCTTCATCTTTACTCTGGTGTTACTCAGATCCCAGTCTGGCCCAACCAGAGTCTTGCTTGATTAAACACTTATAAGTAACTCAAAATGTGGCTCCTAAATAGGCTTGTTCGGCAATTTATAACAATAGATCAATACATCAGCTGCATCTATTCCAAACCCAATTGTCTTCTCTCACGAACCTTGGAGAAAGGCAAAAATGCTACCAGAGATACGGACCTGGAGCCAATACACGGTGTGAATATTCCTCTCATTCACAACATGCATCTGACCCCAAAGCATCTCAAAGGTGGTAAGAAAAATGAGCCACCACACTGCTTTGGCCTCACTCTAGGAGAAGCAGACCCTGTGCAGATTTTGCAGAGCTGCCACTTTTCCACCAAAGATAGGTAATAATAATACTGGGTGTGTTCTGAGGGCAATATAAATAAATACTCTCATGTAGGAGAAATGGCAGCAGCCCTACACATTCCTCAAATGTCACAGTGATGGATAAAGTTCAGACAGAAGGTTCAAGACAGAAGGGCAACAGATTATGTACGGGAATAAAGAGATAGATCATGCAAGTGCCTCAGCACCAAGAAGCCAGCAGATTTCCGATGGGTTCCCATGTTTCCATTTCAGTGATCAGGAGCTGGTTGTGGGAGGGGTTTGTAGACACCCCCTCCACTCTGTGCACTGCCAATTCTCAGCCCATATTCCCAAGTGTGGGAACTGATGCCTTGGACCACAAAGTGTTTTGTTCTCATTGCCAAACTCAGATCTGGTTCCTTGTTTTGTAACATCACTATACACAGTATACCATCTAAAGTGGGACATAAAGGTGTTGTGTTTGTGTGTGGGAGCCAGTGAGTGTGTGTCTATGATTGTTTTTGTGCTGGGGGAAAGAGTGTGTTCGGTGCATTTAGGCTGGTGTGTTAGAGTGAGTGTTTGCATGTTGGATAATGTATGTGTGCCTGCTTGTGTGAAGTGGGAGTGAGCATCATGGTGTATGTGTGTGCATCAGTCTATGAACGATACTGCGTGGATGTTTGTGTGAGTGTTTGCCTGTGTGTTTAAATGGCAACAATTGAACACAATAAAAGTTACCTTCCTCCTTCTTTATTGCTCCTAATCTAGAACATCAAATTCCCCATGATATGCGGGAGGCAAAATTGAAATAGAGCTGGGCGAATAATAGATTTTTCATTTCACTGGCAATTTTGAAAAATCAGAAAAAAAATAATTGTGGGTCAAACTGAAAATGGTATTTTCCAAATTTCAGGTGAGTCAAAAAGTCAAAACCAATTTTGTTTCAGGTTCCATTTTGACAAAATCTAAACAATTTCTTCCAGTGTTGACCACATTTTGAAGTAAAATTAAGGAAACATTTTAAATGAAAAGTCATTTTGTACTGGAATATCAAAATGTTTCATTCCAAAAACATCAATTCTTTTACATGTCAACCGACAATGCCACTTTTTTAACCTCTGATAAGTGCAAATGTTGTGGTCCATTTTAAGAATGGGCTTAATTCTTCTCACACACTGATATAAATCCTGATTATTTCCATTGAATCTACTCTAGTGTCAGTGGATTTACTGCAAATTTATATCAGTCTAAACTAGGAGCTGAACTTTTCTCTGGCAGCTTGATCAACATGCCCAGGGTTTTTTTACTGTTTATTTAGGAAGTTTTAACAAGTTTACAAATCCTTACCATGCAAATATCAGAAACAAAACAATCATTACAACAGTGAACTTTGGTTTAAAGAGACATCATACGGGAATATAATCACCAGATCTTTCTATTTAACAGGGTGATACCATAGTACAGAGTGAGGATCATTACAACTCCTATGTCATTTCTGGTGATTTTATTAAATTGAGTGAAATCTCTGTATTCACATATTTAACAGATCAGGTATGTCTATCAAATGTTCATATGCAAAGAATTGGACAGGTGTGCTGGGTATTTTTTTTTTTTTTTTGCGGGTGAATATACTTTGAGCATAATAATATAATAAGAGGTAAACAATTATTTAAGTACCTATCTGTCCTCTGTCTATTTTGATGAATATGTAATTGTTGTGTTAATTTTCCATAATCAACCTGCCATATTGTTTTGAACCATTCCTCAATGGTTGGACTATTTTTCTTTTCCCATTGAGAGGTTACTAATAGCTGAGCAGATCAGAGGTTAATTTTTCATTTCCTTTTGTGTGACCATTTCCATCAGGAAGCCCCAGGAGGATCACCAGAAGGTTATTAGATAATAAATATCCAACAATTGGGTCATTTTGTTACAGATTGCTTCCAATACTCTCTAATGACTAGACATGTCCAATGCATCAAATCTCCTCTTTCACCACAATTTCTCTAACATTTATCCCCATTTAATCTGTATATATATATTTAACCTGGCTGTGTGAGGTACCATTCAAACAGTATTTTAAATAAATTTCCTTGTATTGTACTACAGACTGAGATTGCTGGTCCTCTTTTCCAGATCAAACCCCATTCCTCTGCATGCCGTTTTTTTTAAACTGTTCCTCATAGGTCAGGTTTGCTAAACCTTTGATCATTTTTGTTGGTCTCCTCTGAACTCTCTCTAATCTGTCCCCATCTTTCTTAAACTGTGGCACCCAGGACCGGACACAGTACTCCAGCTGAGGCCTCACAAGTGCCAAGTAGAGCGGGACAATTACCTCCCGTGTCTTATATACGGCATGCTTTTTAATAAACCCAAATGATATTTTCGCAACTACATCACATTGTTGACTCATATTCAGTTTGTGATCCACTCTAGTTCTGAGATACTTTTCAGCAATGCCACCACTTAGACAGTGATTCCCCATTTTTTAGTTATACATTTGATTTTTCCTTGGTAAGAGAAGAACTTTGCACTTGTCTTTATTGAATTTCCTCTTGTTGATTTTAGAATAATTCTCCAATTTGTTCAAGGTCATTTTGAATTCTCATCCTGTCCTCCAAAGTGTTTGCAACCCCTCCCAGCTTGGTTTCATCTGCAAGTTTTATAAGCATATGCTATCCTTCGTTATCCAAGTTGTTAATAAAAATATTGAATAATGGCTTTAAAAATCCCACCAGAAAAGAGTTGCAGGTTTTGATCGTAAAACTATGGGTGGAGATGTTCACCTAGGGGGCTAGGATATCAAATTCCCCTTAAAACTAATTGGAATTTTGGTGGCCAAATATCTATAGGCAACCTTGAAAATCCCATCAGTGGTCATGTTGACCCTCCATGAACACAAAATAGCCTACATCACCAAGAGAGAAGTGGAGTTGTGTTACTCTGAGATGTTGCCTAATTCAGCTAAAATCTCCTGGAATTAATTTTAATACTTCTGGTCAAAAACAGGGGAGAGGATCAGAATCATTCTACATCATTATTTAAAGAAAATTTTATTTTTTTTAATTCATAGAAATTTAGAATCTTTTTTAAAAACCTACCATTTTGTGAGGTTTTTTGAGAATTTTTTCCCCTATTTTTGGTGGAGATGAAATTAGATTAACAGATTCCAAGGCCAGAAGGGACCATAGTGACTGTCTAGTCTGACCTCCTGTATAACCCAACCCACAGAACATCCCCAAAATAATATCTAGAGCAGATCCTTTAGAAAAACATCCAATCTTGATTTGAAAGTTGTCAGTGATGGAATCTATAAAATAAGAAATTAATAATAAACTAATTGAGATATTCAAAGACGATTAATGGAGCTGGGTACTCCTCTCCTGTCAAAAGCCAATGGGATTTAGACAGACAAATCCAGTAGGTTGCTTTGAATAGTCCAGCCTATCTGGATAATGAGAGCATGCAGTTACTTTGTAGTAGATTAAACTCTATGATGGGAAGAAACTCACCTTCCTCATGCCATAGATCATTCACAAACTGATGATGATGAGACTCCACAATGGGCAGGTTATTCGAGAACTGTCCTCTATAGGGCCTCTTAGACTTTCCTCTGAATCAGGTGGTACTGGCCACTGTCAGGGACAGAATACTTACATAGTTAGACAGTTCCTATGACAAGCAGATGCGGTCAAATAAAATTGCAATGAATGTTGCACCCACATCAACTCAAATGCATTTAATTTATTTTTAATTACTCATTATTAAAGCTGCTCAAAAATGAAAATTATATTTTTTGTGGGAAATGTCATTGTTTTATAACATCCCACGGTATTGCTTTTGGATGGGGGTGGACAAAAAAATGAAACTGGAGACTGAAAAGTGTTTGGTTTTCAATAAACTTCTCTAGTAAAAATGCAAGTTTATGGTAAACATGTTCTAGTTTGGGGAAAAGATTTCTGATATTGAAAACTTTCCCCCCAAAACCTGAAAAAAATATACAAAAATGTTTTCCATCTCCAGGTTTTCATAAAACCAAAACCAAAAATGACTTCCCCACAACATTGCCACTCATTATGAATTATCCTCCAAGTAACTATTATTCCCATTGGACGGATGACAAACTCAGGAAAGGAGCTGTGAAGGGCCTGAACAAAGCCAGAGGAATAGTTGGGATCAGATCTCAGGGCACCTTGAACCTTAGCTTCTTATCAATTAATTAATTAATTAATTAATTAATTATCTGATCGTTGCTACTAATATGAGAGGCCCATTATATTAGGTAAGACACAGTATCCACCCCAAGGAGCCTACAGTAGAAAAGACAAGGGAAGGGTGCGAGGGAAAAGACAGCCCCAGGGAATGACTTTTCCAAGGTAACACAGCAGATCAGCAGCAGGGCTAAGTCCTGCGTGCCCTTAGTGTTTCACTCACAATCTTTCCTCTAGATCCTGCTGCCTTGTTTTAATTGTGATTATTTTAGTTTCTGGAAACTCTTCAGGGAAGTAGATGGCAAGAGAAATTAATTGTTGCCTCTGGGCTGTTGAGGGCTCCAGGGAGTGAGTCCGACAAGCCTGTAGAAAACAGACATGGATAAATCACCTTCCTGCAGTACCAAAGTTTTGGACACACAGCTCATCTGCAGACAGCACAGATCTCACTGTATGTCCTGCAGCTCAGCCTCAGTGTGGTGGGGGAACAGCCTCTCATAATACAGTGATCGGGGCATTAGATAGAGAGACAGATCCATAGAGCGGTGGGCATGGGGCTAGAGAGAGATGGGGTGACCAGATGTCCCGATTTGATAGGTACAGTCCTGATATTTGGGGCTTTTTCTTATATAGGCTCCTATTATCCCCCCTACCCCATCCCAATTTTTCAGACTTGCTGTCTGGTCACCCTAGAGAGAGAGGGGTAACCAGTTGCAGTCTGTAGCTGGAGGAGAAAAGACATCTCAGTCTGGGAGGATTCCACACAGACCGGCACCGTAAGTTTGCTCTTGCAATGAAATATATTTGTGGGTTTTAGAGTGGCACTTTAAGGATGAAATTGTAAGTGACAATAGATTTTTTTTCATAGTTTCACTCTTACCTCAATTTGAGCACAGGAAACTGAGGCAGTCCCAAGCATTTACCTTAGGAAACAGGGGGCAGAATATTCATGCCTCAGTTTCATTCTATTGGGAGTGGGGGAATTGATCAAATTGACACACATATTTTTTAGACTAGATCAAGGAGTTTATATTAAAATTGTCCAAAAATTGTGACAAACACTATTTGCTCGTTGTTGCTTTTCTTTCTGTATACATTAGTTTCTTGTTATTGCTGTCTATCTGTCTGTTTATATTTTTCTCTCTATATTAGTTTTTTTTTATACTTCTCAATCTACCTGTTAGTTTGGGTTAGTTCTGTCTTTCCCTCTCACTCTCTAAATCTGTTCTTTTTTTACTTGTATCTCTCAGATAGTTTGATAGATCTAACAACAAACTAACAATCTATCTAGCATCAGTTTGTGTCTAGTTCTCAGTTTATTGTTTCGTCTGTCTATTAGATTGCTGCAAAGGTAGTTGAGTCAAGTGGGTTTGCAGTAGTGAGGACTAGGAGCCAGGATTCCTGTGTTCTATCCCGAGCTCTGTAAAGTTAGTGTGGTCAAGTGGGTAAGAGTAGCAGGGACTGAGAGCCAGGACTGCTGAGTTTTATATGTGGCTCTTGGAGGAAGTTCACTCCAGTATGTAGAGGAGCCAGAATCGGACAGTTCCATTTCTGTCTCTCATAAGGACTGTGGACTGGCACCCCTCAAAGCTTGAAGCTGAGTGGTTTGGGCACTCGGCTGGCCTGTGACAAACTCAGGTTCAATCCCTCCCTCTGTCTGATGAAGAGAAGGGATTTGAATTCCCAATTTACAGGAGGGTGCCTGAGCCTCTAGGCTACGGGCTGTTCTGAAATGAGACTGTCTCAGTCTCTCCTGTTAAAGCTTCTCCACGTTGTATCAATAATTAAATAGTCATTGGAGCAGGGACTTGAACCTGGCTCTTCCAGACACCAGGTGAGTGCCCCAAGTACCACGCTGGAGAATCACTCTCACTTGCGCTCGTTGGCCCAATGACTCTCCATTGTCACTCGCAGCAATCATTCCTGATGGCAATGGAGAGTCACTGGGACAGAGGCTGAGATGCAGTCTAATGTACTCGTTAGAGGAGGGAATGGGGAGTCATGACACCTCATTTGTGTTCCCAGGTCTGGGAGGGAGTTGAGTCCAGTGGATAGAGCCAGAACTCCTGGCCTCTATTTCCAGGTCCAGGAGGGGTGTTGGATTTAGTGGGTTAGAGCAGGGAGCGAAATGGGAGACAGAACTCCTGGTTTCTCTTCCAAACTCTGGGATGGTGTTTAGTTGAGTGGTTAGAGAAGCAGGAGGGGAGTCACGACGTCTGTCTCTCGCAGTGAGCATGGAAATCTGGCTAGAACAGGGGATGGGGCATCAGGACTCCTGAGCTGTATTCATGATTCGAGTTTACTGTGTAATTATGGCTGGGTTTGGTCACCTCCATGCAAGATGCTGCTCCCATTTAGAGCAATATGAATGGGGAGTAATTCCATGGCATGCAGTGAAATTACCCCACATTCACAGCAGTGCCCCTGACAGCAGAATCTGTCCAGCCAAACACCCGATTCCCCTCAGTAAACTGAGGATAGTAACATTTATACAAAGTTATCCAGAGTTCGCCGACCTTTGGGTGACAGAGATATACAAATACCTCAAAAGCAATTGTTCCTAATTCTCCTCTCCATCACCCTGGTGTAAATTAGGAGTAACTGCACTGGAGTCCATTGAGCTGATTCTACTTTCTCTCACTCCAGTGTAAATCAGGAATAACACTATTGGAGTCAGTGGGACTGTTTTCCCCATTCCGATATTACACCAATCTTCACAAGCTAAGGGTCTGACTCAAGGAAATTAAGGTGGTTTTCACAAAAGGAGAGTTATTTTACTGATCTAATCCTGTCCCTTGCTCTTGTTCCTCCCTCTGCAACCATCACACAATGTCCTGAGAAAGAAAATGTCCAACCAAACCACCATGTTCCTTCTCTTGGGATTCTCTGATGTTCGGGAGCTGCAGATTTTGCACTTTGTGGGGTTTCTAGTGATCTACCTTGCAGCCCTGATGGGGAATCTTCTTATCTTCATGGCTATAACCTTCGACCACCACCTTCATACTCCCATGTACTTCTTCCTGATGAATCTGTCCATCCTAGACCTTGGCTCCATCTCTGTCACCATCCCCAAATCCATGGCCAACTCCCTCATGAACACCAGGTCCATTTCCTATGATGGATGTGTTGCCCAAGTCTTTTTCCTCCTCTCCTTCGTGACAGCGGATTTTTCCCTTCTCACCATCATGGCGTATGACCGATATGTTGCCATCTGCCAACCACTGCACTATGAGAGAATGATGAACAGCAGAGCTTGTGTTCAAATGGCAGCTGGTGCCTGGATCAGTGGGATTCTCTACTCTGTGCTACACACTGGGAACACGTTTGTATTGACCTTCTGTGGAGGCAACATGGTGGATCAGTTCTTCTGTGAAATCCCGCAGTTACTGAAGCTCACCTGCTCTGACTCATATCTGAGTGAAGTTAGGGTTCTTGCCTTTAGTATATGTTTAGTCTTAGGCTGCTTTGTTTTTATGATTGTGTCATATGTTCAGATCTTCAAATCAGTGCTCAGAATCCCCTCTGAGCAGGGCCGGCATAAAGCCTTCTCCACCTGCATTCCTCACCTCACTGTGGTCTCCTTGTTTGTTTGCACTGGGGCCTTTGCCTACCTAAAACCCACCTCCAGCTCCCCATCTGCTCTGGATCTTGTGGTGGCTGTTCTTTATTCCGTATTGCCACCAATCGTGAATCCAGTTATCTACAGCATGAGGAACAAAGAGATGAAAGCTGCCCTGAAGAGATTGACTGGTTATAGGTAATTCACACAGAATTAATTTTCTGTCTTTCTCTAATTAAAATTTGCTTACTTAGTATCTGTTCATTAATGTCAGTTATTTCCATGACCACACAGCTTGCACACAAACAGGTCTGATTCTGATCTCAGTTGCACCAATGCAAATCCAGATTAACTGCTGTCACTGCTGCTGGGGTGATTTACACTAGTAGATAATTTGGTCCAGTTGTGTAGTTAAATGGGTGTAAATTGTGTGCGTGAGTGGAATGAGACTTTCATTCTGTGCCCAAACAATACCTGTTACACTGCTTGGCCACTAGCACCTGTTCCATGGCCACTGAAAACAATGATGGAAGTTGTCTTGCTTGTGTGTATGAATCAGGAGTGGCTTCGTTGGAACAAAAGGAGTCAGAGAGGTGTAAGATTGGGGTAGGTGAGAGAAGACATCAGTGTAGTTCCATTGACTCTGGTGGCCCTAAAGCAATTTTCAGCATCTGTCGATCTGACCTACTGCCTCCAAAGGAGCTGTATATCCATTGCCACCAGCTGGGGAATGAACCCATTGTCTTAT